CCCCATTATGAAACAAACAAAAATAACAAAATGCTCTACTAATAAGTCCAAATACAAATTGGTCCATTTGAGGCCACTTAATTCCTCAAGTATTTGGTAGACTATTTGGCAATTTTGGAGCCACTTATAATGACACTTCCACTTGTGAAATGTTACATGAAACCAACAGAAATAAAAGTGTATTCGGCACTTTTAGAGCACATTTGTTTGCTATGGAAATCAAGGGCAGATAATTCAAATGGAGCTAACTTAAGGCCCAATATATTGCAGAATGTGAACCATATCGCGAGATACTATATCGGTATATACCGGTTTACCGGTAATATTGCTCAGCCCTAGTGTGCGTGTGCGTGTGCGTGTGCGTGTGCGTGTGTGTAAATAAATAAAAAAAAACAAAAACCATCACCACCATCACCCCCTAGACATATATTATGAACGGTTCCTTATTTTAAGGTTCCTTACTTAAGGGTTGTAAGCACAAACTGGTACACATAACATTTGCGTCGTTTGCAAAAAAATAGTTCCGTATTTCGGACACGCGTTATTTTAGGCATTCAATCATTTGGGTGCCGCTCGATCGCATCTTATAAATATAAATAACTACAAGCGATGAGTATGAGTTACTTCAACTGGGTACAGACCATTCCTAGTATATCCATTCATCCAGACTTGGTTGGCAGCATGATAATCAGTATTTTCAAAGCTTCACCACTGAAGATCCCAACCGAAGACCTTTACAAATGTGCTAGGGTGGAGGGCGGTGGGGGAGCCTAGTGGTTAAAGCGTTCGCTCGTCACGCCGAAGACCTGGGTTCAATTCCCCACATGGGTACAATGGGCAGCGTTTAAAATTCCCGCCTGCCCGACCGTCCGGAACGGTCTATTTTCATCTCGGACGGTCAAATTTCAAAAGTAGCCTGTCCGGTGGTCTGGTAGATGTTTTAACCCCTAACAGTACATATTTCATAATATCAGACAGGTTCTCTTGTCGTCAGTTTGAGGTGTTTAAGGTATTATGATAATTATGTTAAACTATTTAAGATTGGACAGTTCATTTTGCAATAACCAATCGCAACACATGTACTTTCAGTTTACCTAAACTCAGTGCATTGCCTGTTAGTGCTATGGTGTTCATTACAGACAGACAGACAGACAGACATTTTATTCAGTAATAGGCCACTGGCCCAAAATACATTCATAAATATAATAAAAAGTTACATGCGTTTTACCAGGGAGACTATATAATGTTGTAGATTATCCCTGGTTTTACATAAAAACATCAGAATCTCTTATTTTCCCAACATTATATAAAAATAGGCACATATTATTTATAACATTTATGTTTTTTGAAGTCATTATGTTAATAAAACTGTGTTGTGAAATAGGATTTTTCAAATATTTACCCATAAACTTATTCCTTATATCTAAGTAGGCTTTACAATAAAGTAAAACATGTATTTCATCTTCAATTAAATTAAGATTATTTTTGTAGCAAAAAGGACAGAATCAATAAGGGACATTGTTATATCTACCGGTCTCAGCACTAAGTTTAAATTTACCGCATCTAAATTTTGTTAAACAATTTCTTAAATATGGGGCAATACCTAAACTGAGATAAGTTTCAACATTCAGGGAGGACTTGAAAGAATATAATTAGAACACTTGGTTGTACTATGTAGGGATGAGTACCAATCTTGTGAAAGATTATCAGACAATCTTTGCTTAAAAACAGAAATGAAACCATCAATATCTCCAATATCCTGTGAAATCCAAACAAAGCCAAACCCAAATCTAAATAAAATATTCTTGATATGAGATGCCCATGTCGTCCGTCCAGATTCATCCAAAGACTTAAGCATTAAATAAAACTGATGAGGTAATCTACAACTTGGAAGAGTTAAAAGTCTACACCAATATTTAACTGCCCTTGACATATAAGTAAGTTGAAGAGGGAATCTGCCACATTCACCAAGAACCATATTGTTGCATGTATTTTTACCAACTTTTAAGAAATATTTACATGTCTTTATCTGGATTTGTTCAATGATTTTACAATGGGTAACACCCCAAATTTCTGAACCGTAACAAAGAACAGGTTTAACCATAGCATCAAATACTTTAAAAAGATCCGCACATGACAGATAACCTACTCTTGTTTTATATCTATAGATAGCCATAAGGGCTTTATTGGCTTGAGAAGCAAGAGTAGTGTGAGCTTTAGTCCAAACTAGCCTAGGAGTGAACACAATACCCAAGTACCTGTAGTATGAGACAACTTCCAGCCTTTGCCCATTAAGAAACCACTTTTCATACTGTCTAAGGGGCCCGCTATTCCTGAAAACAATAACTTTAGTCTTATTAATATTGACCTTCATACCGGTGAGTTGACAACAATTTTCAAGCCCATGAATCTTCTTCTGAAGCTGGAGACCAGTATCCGAGACTGAGGAAACATCATCCGCAAACATTAGAGCATATAGATTATTAACATCAGGTGTAATAAATATACCACGGCCACCAAATTGCTCCATACTTTCCATAAGCTGATTAATAAAGATAATAAACAATTGGGGACTGAGGATGCAACCCTGCCTAGTACCTATACTACAATCAAAATAGCTTGAAAGACCTTGAGATGTTCTGACACAAGCTGACAACCTACCATACATTGATACAAGGATGTTATAGAATTTACCACCAACACCAACTTTTTTTAGACTTGACAGAAAAAAATTATGATAAACTGTATCAAAGGCCTTTGAGAAATCTATAAACAGACAATAGAACCTTCCTTTCTTCTTACATGAATATTTCTGTACCATAGCTTGAAGTGAGAAAATGTGGTCAGTAGTAGAATAATTACTCCTGAATCCTGCCTGAGCTTCATGAATAATATTACGATGCCTACAAACAGTAAAGTATTCAGAAACCTGATTTATTTATTGTTGTCATTGTTGAAAACCGGACAGGCAAGTTTGTATCCGGACTGGTAATTTTTTAAAAGTTACCAGTCCGGCTGTGGCTGGCTTGGAATTTTGTGAGTTTTAAACACTGCAATGGGTGAAGCCCATTTCTGATGTCCCCCACCCTGATATTGCTGGGATATTGCTAAAAGCGGCGTAAAACTAAACTCACTTACTCACTCGATGAAGTGGGTTCAACTGTGTGAATATTCAACTCACTGAAGTCCGCCCTCTTAAACGTCCGCGCTCTTCATCTTCGAACGTGACAAAGCCCATCGTCCCAGTGCTAAAACGGCGAAATGCAAAACTCAGTCAGTCTCTGTACAGTTCCCAGTGCGAAATGCACACCAACGTATCGTACAGTTCGATACGTATCGGAACTTACTAAAAAACATGACATGAATAGGGATGATTGATCTTAGTCAGAGAGCTAATTCAGTGTGGATCGGGTATCAGTCCCTGTGGTTAAGTTTTTTAAAGACAAGTTCAGAAGGGTGTGAAATATGTCTTGGTTTCAAACCAACACACCGATGGCACCTTGCACTAGCAACCTGTACCTAACCTACCTACCTACCTACATGTACCTACATATCTATATATCTAGGTATCTACTTACTATCCAACCTATTTAACAACCTACGGATACTAGAAAAAATGGAAAACTCGTAGCTAAAGTTCTCTTTGAATTTGTATCATTTTTAGAACAATCGTACTTTTTTCGTGGCATTGTACCCAAATTTAGATGACCTTCATGGCTGAAACTCGGTTGCATTAACTGGTATAGATCACATAAAATGATACATTTTTCTTTTAATTTACTCATCAGAGATCCCTTCATTGTGATAGCAATTCATTCTTGGCACTGTACTTTTCCAACATTTATTCATTGTACATTTCAAACATTAATCATACTTTTCAAATATCTGTTTCATTATACATTTCAAATATTAATCATTTAAAAGATGTATTCAATACACATTTCAACCATTTATTCTTGGTGTATTCATTCGCTTCCGTGGTCTTGAATGCTCAATACCTGGGAGCTCAGTGAGTTCACGGATTTGTTTTTGTTTTTTGGGGTACGAGTCATCCAGCTGTTAAAGTACGACCCGATACGAGATGTCCAATATTTGGGTACGAGTCAGTTAAAAATGTATGGGTACGAACTGTCCTGCAGGGGCGGATACAGCTATAAAGGGCGTGTGAGAGAAAGGGGTGTTTCACGAGAGTTTCAATGGAAATTTAATAAACCTTCAGGACGAAAAGGGGAGGGGCGGACCCTGCAAAAAACCCCCTCCCCCACCTGTTATCCATCCAACTGATATCAACTTTACAAATACTTCCCCCACCCCCATGACCCGGCTATGTCCCCTGTTCCTCTACCTGTTATCCATCCAACTGATATCAACTTTACAAATACTTCCACCCCGCTCCTTGTGGTCAGGTTTTCTCCCTGCCTCATTTATTCTTTATCCCTTGCGGTATGACCTATATATTTCCTTTTATATGTCATAATTGAATTATAACTTTATTCTTAATAGAGGGATCTAAACAGACACCACAAGTGTTGTGTGGTATTGTAATATATTTACATATTGCGGTGAGAAATTGTGTCTGTAAACAGTGGTTAAGAAATTGCAATTGTTAGCAAAGCCAACACGAGTTGTCTCCACTGTTTCGCCTGTGACCTGATTAAACCCTGGAAGCTGTGACAGACAGTTTTGAATCGAGAAAAATTGGTTGAATTTCTTATAACATCATCTATTTGTTAGCATTATAGAAGCTGTAGCAGGTAAGAAAAGCAATGATAAGCATGTGCAACTTCCTATTTTCACTTTTGCAGCTTCACTTTATTTGTTTCGTTTTGCACACCACTGCAGTTCGACTTCAAGTGATACAGGTTGAAAGTTTGCAGCGAGCAGTTTAGTGGTGGCTCTGAGCTCGCCCCAATTAGGGTACATGATATTATTGACGATCACGATCGGATATGCAGTGGATTTGGGTCAGTCACGTCAACTGAGACATTGGAAAGTTCTTTTTGTGGCAGTTTAGAATTTGGAGAGATTTATTACCATAACAAGCATAGCAACTGTGAGAAGCAGTCATAAAATGACACTGAAATAACACATTTTGAGTGTTTACAGAAAAGTTTGTGACGCACTACTGTCAAAATACAATGTATTAGTCAATCTACTGAGATCACTGAGGTATTACATGATATAATCATCTCATTATGTTTTCTGCAACAGCTTCATAACATCAACAATCTTTTCTAGGAGCACCATATATTTTTTCAGGTATTGAATGTCCAGAAAATACTTTCTTTGTTTTCCAATAAGTTGCAACATTTTGCACAAATTTCTGCTTAATTTTCTATTTTGTCTTACAATTGTAATTTTTCACTTGACTAAGTCTGTTTTGTGTATTTGAAATAGTTTGACCTGAATACTTCTCTAAAATAAAAAATACAGCAGTTACGAGGAGAAATGTATTTCTATCTAGCAGATCTAGCCTGTCGAAGGTAGTCCAGCATATAACTAAACGACTTTGCACTATACCAAGATGTAGGCCCTGGCTGGAATACGAGTTTATTGATATGAACTAGTGAGGGGCCCTTCTATGGATATTTGGGAGTGCCCTCAGAATTCTGAGTACCAACCAGAATATTTTGAAATAAAAAAAAAATAGGAACTACAAAATTCTGTTAATTATCAAGTATGTTCCAATGATCGTCAGTCTGCATGTGTTTGTTCAGGTTACTAGTTTGGAGGACAGTTATCATTGACCTTCAAGGGAAAAATAAATGACAAATCTAGATTAAAAAAGAATGAAAAATCTAAATTTTAACTTGGCCCCAAAACAACTCATTTTGTAGTGCTGATAACTATGACATTAACAAGTGTGGTCATTTTCAAGAATCTGGCTATAATCAAAATTTTTATTGATAAGTATCAATAACTCAGAAAAGTATCAATAACTGAGCATATTGTCAATATAACATCCTGGATCCTCATTGACTGTGTCAGACATTGAGACTTTGAGGTATGGCGTTCCATTCTTAATTGTGAGCTTGTTCCAGCAGATAATAATTTCGTACTGGAGAATCTCCCTGGATCTCCCTCCAATAATGTCCCAAACATGCTCTTTGGGGTTGAGATTAAGATTCCTGGTGGGGCCGAAGTAGAGTTACTACCACTGCTTGTCGTAAGAAATCACTGATGTGCACTATGTGTACTTCAGACAAAGGAGTCATCTGAATGTCATTTTGAAACATTCTTCGTCACATCAATTTTAATCCTGTTAATCGCATACTTGGTTGAAACAGTTCAGTCAAACACCCCATTACATATATTCAAACAAGAAGTACATGATGTATATCAGTCTGGTAGTCTGTATGAATACACAAGTAATTCAGGGAAAGTTTCATTAGGTCACTGAGCATGTCCTTACCACACTGGATCTTCAGCCAAGTCTCCCTTAGACAATATCATTATCCGGCAAATAGATGCAGCAAATACTTGATACTATCAAAATTTATAATTAGATCTTAATTCAAATCACAGAAACATGTTAAATATGGAAAGACTTTTTAAAAATTTGTTATTAATTTTATTATTGAATTGTTTAAAGTACCTGTGTACATTGTTAATAGATATGCATGTTTTTTTACATTCGTGTAATGTGTATATCATCAAGCATGGGATCAAATGTTGTGACTTTCTTCATTGGAAGGTACATGGGACAGTAAAATGATGTGAGCTGCTGTGAATGAAATAAAAAATAAATTGTTGTTGTCTTACAGCCACTGACCATTCTGGATTTCCAGGAATCACGTAGTCAGCTCCAGGATGTTATACCACAGTGTTGGTGCCATACAGCGCCAATTCTCCTGTACAGTGAGGAAATTACAGCCCCATCGCAGCCTCTCCATCATCCCATCCTCTGGAGCCCCTCGCAGAGCTACTCTCTCCACAGACATACCCCCACGTGTTCTCACAGCTTCACCAGCGTGGGGTGTTCACTGTCGCAGCAACTACCGTCCACACTTTCAAGCATTATCATATGGACTGCGTGAATATTCGGTCTGTGACCCCTTTACAGACTATGAACAAGAGAAGAAAACATTTCAACTTGATGTCCCCGAATATTTCAACTTTGCCAAAGATGTTATAGACAAGTGGGCTGATGCTGAACAGGTTTGTTGGATATGATTGTTTAGATGTTCACTTTGCTACCAAGCATCAGTGCAGTAAGACAACACAGTTTTATATTTTCAGATTTAGTATCACAAACAGAACTATAATTATAATAGTTTAATTTAGTTTTTACATTCCTGATGCTGTGTCTGTGATGGTTTATATAAACTGAAAGATACATCAGACATTTTCCTAGACCTGCTCAGGGGCTTGTGTTAGGATTTTAAGTCAGCAGCAAATGACTAAAAATTCTAATTTGAATATACAAATTCTGAATGTTTCAGAATTTATGAATAGTACAACATTAAAGTCATTTGATGTTTATCAATATCATGATTTTGTCCCTATTTGCTTCGGGTGGCCAGGTTTGCTGACTTGGTTGACACGCATCGTATCGTCAAATGATGCTCATTCTGTTGATGACAGGATTATCTGGTCCAGACTTGATTATTTACAGACTGACACCATATAGGTTGTATATTGCTGAGTGCGGTGTTAAACATCAATCAGTTATCAATCAAACCAATCTCTGAATTAATTAGAGACATTTTTGGTAGTCACTGGCCACTTTAAATCTCATACACAGAGAAATGTTTTCATGGAAGTATATATTGTTCTATGTATTTAATAAAAATATGAAAACTATAAAAAAACTATAAAATAATGAATATGATGCCCTATGCTATAAGGTCATAGGACCCGTGAAGGACCAGGCTAGAATATTGATCTTCAGTAACCCATGCTTGTCGTAGAGGCGACTAACGGGATTGGGTGGTCAGGCTCGCTGACTTGGTTGACACATGTCATCTGTTCCCAATTGCGCAGATCGATGCTCATGCTGTTGATCACTGGATTGTCTGGTATAGATTTGATTATTTACAGGCTGCCGCCATATAGCAGGAATAATGGTTCTTGGTCTTGAACACAATATCAAGTTAAAGTGGTCATAAGATATGAAGATATTAGACAAGAATGCCTTTCTTCATGTACACTTGTTAACCACAGTTTTGATAACTTTATTAGGCTAATTTCTTGCAACAACATAAACACATTAATTTGTCTTGAACCCCTCCTCTGTCATATGAAGAAAGTAAGAAGCAAATCTGATATTACACTGTTTTATTCATTATATTTACAGTGCTAATTCTTAAGCATGTACAATATGATGTACCAGTGTGCCTGCATCTTTGTATTATGGGCCTTTTGCCGAGAATTACAGAAATAAATCTGTCAGTCTGTCACTATATCACCATGGTCACTGAAAGAATGGCACCTGTTATTCAGACATCTTGGAAAAGATGGTTGGCATGTAGATGGTTTTTCAATGTAGAGAATGAAGTAAGTCAGGAAGGTGTTATATTAGAATTTGTGTGAATAAAAGTCAGGAAGGAATATAACAACACTGTTTCTATTTGATCAAAGTGAAAGAATTGTGTGTAACCAGATTACTATGTATTTCTGTTTTGTGGCAAATGATGTGTAGTGTGGTATATCTTTAGACAGGAGAACGAGATGCTACTGTCCCTGGTTTCTGGTGGGTCCATGAGGATGGCCGTGAAGTGAAGTGGACATATCAGGAACTGGCAAGCAAGTCAAACAGGTGACCACAATGGCCCTTTACGTGTTTTCCTTCAGTGCACGATGACAGGGCACACATAAATACGAACTAATTCTCTTTTTTGGTCAGCAAGCATCAGTTACTTGTAAATTTCACAAGTACAGTTTCTTGTACCACAAGTACAGTTTGTCACCAACTGGCATCAGATACTTGTACCTGGAACCTGTGATGCAAAATATCATTGGTTTTTCAGGGCTCCAGATAAGGGCCGTATCGGCCTATGTACGGATATAAAATAAGCACGATACGGTAGGAAATAATTTAGAAAACATAGCAGATACACACCGCAGCAATGGCGTTTGGTCATTGAATCATTTACAGACGTATTTATCTGAAAAAGTATTATTTTATTGGCCTGTTTACACAAGAGTAGCAATGTTGTGGTGCATAAACGAAACACAAGATTACTGACACTCCATTAAATTCCATTCAGTACTCTAAATGTACTCTTATTGTTTTCCAGTACTCCTATATTGAAAAAATAAGGAGTACGTACTCCTGATCATGAAAATTTTTCTGGAGCCATGGGTTTTTCTTGTAATTCACACACAACCTGGCTGGATGTAATTCTGTAAAGGATTCTGTTACCATTACTCCAATGGCTGATAGTGTCAGATAATACATTAGGTGTACATGTGAATAATGTGAAGACACTTGATTATTTAACTTCTGTGATACTTTCTTTCAAGGACTGCAAACATCTTAAAAGACTCATGTGGGTTGCAGCCAGGAGATCGTGCCATCATTATGCTACCCAAGGTTCCACAGTGGTGGCTTTTCAACATCGGTGCAATTCGTTCTGGTATGTCCAGACAAACAAACTTAGAAACCTGCTTTAATTTTGCTGTAGAATGAATTAGAATGACTCTTAAACATGTAAACCCTACTTTCAGGTCTTACAGAAGTATATCATACACTTGCACATACATCTCCCCTACAGTCCGTTTGAGTCATAAACGGACCGATGAATTGCAAATTTGATCATTGTACAAAATTGCCACATAAATATAAATAGTACACATGTTTATCATTGACCCAACAGCTTTCTTATATTTGAAAATTTTCCGGACTCCACCAAAAAAGTTGTTTAAGAAACTATTATCATTGAAACGCAAAAGTTGTTATCTGTCGTGGCGGGGTGAAACTGCAGAAACGGAACAGCCACTATCTCGTCGTGCACGGGATACACATGCCTGATGAAAAATGAAGTTGAATGCTGACGTGAAACAGTTGATGATTAAAGTGTACACTCTTACACTCTTTCGGGTATCGTTATAAGAAAATTTCGGGGGAGAATAGGTCAGTACTCTGTGAACGCCCTGATATCGCCCCTTGAGAAATAATTTTCTCAGGGTTATAAAGAAGAAGCGCGAGGAAAGGTTCGAGCCAGTGTACTTGCACGAGACCTGGGTCAATGCCTCGCACACTGCCAGCAGTCAGTGGGTACCCGATGGGGGTGATAAGGGGTCACGTAGAAAGCTGCCTCTAGGCAAAGGAGAGAGACTAATCATTCTCCATGCTGGTTGCTCCAGCAAAGGCTTTCTCCCAGGCTGCGACTTGGTATTCAGGGCAAAGTCCACAGATAACAGAGACTACCATTCCGAGGTGAATGGTGCGTTTTTCCTCGATTGGGTTAAAAACAAGTTGGTACCAGCTCTACCAGGGAAGTCTTTTATCGTAATGGACAATGCCCCATACCACAGCGTGCAGGACCCCGACAGTAAAGCCCCGACATTGAACAGTCGAAAAGGTGATATGATATGGCTCGACAAATTTCAGATAGCACGGCCTTCAAAGGCAATGAAGCCTCAGCTATATGAGATCATAAAAAAACACAAAGGTGAACCTTTCTACAAAGTTGACAGTTACATAAAAAGTAAGGGTCACGATATTCTGCGACTTCCACCCTATCACTGTGACCTTAACCCCATTGAAATGATATGGGGTATTGTCAAAGGAGATGTTGCCAGATCAAACACAACTTTTAGATTACGTGACGTAGAGGTTTTGGTTAAGGAATCCCTTAACAAAATCACGACTGAAACTTGTCAAAACTGTGTCAACAAGGTAGCTAACGTCATTGAACAAGGTTACTGCTCTCGGGATGGCTTACAACAGGCAACTGTGGCACCACTCGTCATCCCTTAAGTCGTGACTATGACACTACGACGGACGAGGGACCGACAGGTCTCCCAGAATAGATTTTGAGATGTTCCCCGCCATGACTGGCTGTTCCGTTTCTGCAGTTTCACCCTGTCGCGATAGATAACAACTTTTGCGTTTTCAATGATGATAGTTTCTTAAACAACTTTTTTGGTGGAGTCCGGAAAAATTTCAAATATAAGAAAGCTATTGGGTTTTAGTAAATGATAAACATGTGTACTATTTATATTTATGTGGCAATTCATCGGTCCGTTTCTGACTCAAACGGACTGTAAAAGCAGATTTAATTGTACACTTCTGTAAAATGTTTCTTAAAGAAAATTGGTGGTCTCAAACAAAAAATGAAATGAGAGAATAAACAGTGTCACATTACATCCATTCCTCTATCAGCCAACTGAAATGATTTTTTAATTACTGAAAATATAGAACAAACTAAGGAAGGAGAAAAACAGACTGTCCTTAAATTGTTCATCTTCCTCCATGTTATTGAAGCATCTGTTGACTGTGAATAGGTGTGGTACTGAGTCCAGGAACGATGATGCTGCGTAGCAGCGACCTCTCTCACCGTCTGCAGTCGTCACAGGCAACATGCATCATCACAAACGGTGCAACTGCAGATATAGTGGACCAGGTACATGCTTGATCTCAAGGACATCTTAGTTTTAAAAACGAATGAAAGAGACAGTTCAGATTCTTTTGTGATGTCATTTACGTGAAACTGGGTGAGGGTGGTTTTACTCACTCAACCACTCACTCAACTCACTAACTCAACCATTCACTCAACCACTCATTCAACCACACACTCAAATCACTAACTCACTCACTAACTCAACCACTCAACCACACACTCATTCAAACCACACACTAACTCACTAACTTCAACCACTAACTCAACCACTAACTCAACCACTAACTCAACCCACTTAACTACTCAACCACTCAACCACTCACTCACTTGCTGAGGATCTGTTTTCTGACTCTGAATCCCAAGGGTATTATTATTAACTGGACTAGGGACTGATGTCATATGGTCAGTTCTGTATTTTGTTTCTTTTGATATTTCCTGTAGGTTGCAGATCAGTGTCCAAACCTCAGAGTAAAACTTCTTGTCGATTCCAAATCATCAAGGTAAGATTTTCAAATCGTCAACATGAAGCTTTTGAAAAAGCTGATCTAATTTCATTTGGTGTAGTTGATTTTACTATTCATAGTTCCCATTTGTAATTGTTAATTGTATTTATCTCAATAATTGTATTTATCTCAAGTGTTTAGTTACATTTCACAATAGAGAGTGTTTTCTTATACATTGTATACTTAAGTTTGAAAGACTGAGATTTCTGAGTTTGATAAAAGTGATATTTTCGCTGCAGGGCTCGATTTAAGAGATGTTAACCTACTTGCACCAGGTGCAACCGAAGATAAAAACTTGCACCAGCCAAATTCCATTGCTTTTATTGCAATATGTAATTTAATGAAATATGCTATTGAATTATTTAGATGTTTTATTTAGAAGTTTACCCACTCAAAAATTTACTTGGTGCAAGCATAATAATTCATGTGCCAGCATCAAGTTTTTGGCGTTTGTGCTAAGAGCAAATGCATTGTTTTGATGGATATAATCATAAGTGATGATCGTATTCAACAATGACATATACAAGATAGCAACTGATACAGATATGTGTTGTCTCAGGTTTATTTTTTGTTATGAATTATCAAAACAAAGAAGTGAACAGCCTTCAGTTTACAGTTGGGAGAATTAATATTTTGTTAATCGAATTTTCTTGGATTAATAATGTTTAAATTTAATCAAACAAAATTGGAAGCATATAATAAATAGAACAGCCACCTGACACTTTCATAAATGTCTTTTCATTGTTTCAGAAATGGTTGGTTTAATTTTGATGAACTATTTGAATCTGCATCTGAGCAGTTTGAGGTACGCTGTATGTATATACTCCTATATTTAATCTGCTGATGATTGGTTGCATTTTGTGGTGATATGATATATATGATTTTAACCTGCTTCAGCACAGTTCTAGACAATTTTTATTAGTTTTTGAAGCTAGCATACAACATAGGAGTTGCTCTTCCATATATGCCAGATTGTAGCCATCACGGAAACACATTACTGCTATGCTTACCATCAACAAACTCAGTCCCATCCAAATGTAAGACATGAGAAAGGAGGCATTTCATCGTTCTTTACCAACCAGTCATCTATGTATTCTAATTGTGGAGGGATGTGGATGAACCATTGGCATGACTACGAATCGGTTTATATCATTTAGTGAAGAAACAAGGCAACACATGTTGTTGTTTTCTTCCCCTGCAGCTACTTGAGACCATTTACCCGTGAAGATGCGGGTTAGAATTGGTCTTCAGCAAGCCCTGCTTGTTGTAAGAGGCGACTAACGGGATTGGGTGGTCAGGCTCGCTGGCTTGGTTGACATATGTCATCGTATCCCAACTTCGTAGATAGATGCTCATTCTGTTAATCACTGGTTTGTCTGGTCCAGACTTTATTATTTACAGACCGCCGCCATATAGCTGGAATATTGCTGAGTGCGGCGTTAAATAACAGCAAACAAACAAGCAACTTGAGTCCATGGCCTGCAAGAGTTGTTTTTGGCTATGTAAGATCCTTATAAAACTTTGTTGATTACTTTGTGTGACAGCTTTAGGTTGTTTGTAGTGCGTAAACACGAAAGGGAGTGACCCAATGACTCTGTTCTTCACAAGCGGGACAACAGGTTCCCCAAAGATGGCTGAGCACACCCATGCCAGTTACGGCCTTGGTCATACCATCACAGCCAGGTGAGTGAGTGAGTGTGATTTTATGCCACAATATTCCAGCAATATCATGGCAGGGCAACCAGAAATGGGCTCCACTTGTTGTGCCCATGTGGGGAATCGAACACGGGTCTTCAGTGTGATGAGCTTTAACCATCAGGCTTCCCCACTACCTTCACAGCCTGGTGAGTCCACATGGAGGTTCTGATGGCGATTGAGTGTATGGGTGGCAAGGGGTTTAAGGCCATCAAATAAATCTGCCTCCTCACTGATATCAAACATTTTTAAACTTATCCTATCTCACGGTATGCACTTCTCTCTCTTGATTCGACACTGAGTGGAACGATGTAACTTTTTTTCTCCCTAGGCCTCCCTTGTCCATCCGCCCAAGCACTCCATGCTACCGTCATTATAGACAGCTTCCTAGTTGTCATGCAAAGCATGCGGCATGCACCACTAGCTTCCCATGTGACTATCTCCGAATCATCATTCTCCTTCTTGTCGCACATGAGTGTGAACGTGTTTTGCTTTACTCAACGTTTTCAACATTAGTCTACAACATGGGGAAGGCTGACCAGCCAAAAAAGAGGAAGAAATGTTCACAGTGTAATAAGGTGTTCTCTGCGAGTGATCCACATGCGTTTTGTGTTGACTGTGTGGGACAGTGTAAATGGGACTCTTGTTGCGATAAATGCAAGGATCTTACCTTCGAGGCTTTTGGTGATTACATTAGGGCAGAGCTTGTTATGCAGCTTCACTAGACAGACCAGTCCCACTACGAAAGGCAAGTTTAAGTGTCCTACTTTGTCTGCCTGTCGGTCACAGTCCCCTCCCTCAAATGAAGAGGATTTTATGAGAGCGTCGTCAGACTCTTATTTATCTGAAGAAATTTGGAAACTGCTTGGCTCTCAACATTCCAGCCCGAGTCCTTCGTCTTCGACCACGTCCCGGGTAGTGGTTGTCGGGCGTGCTACCACCCCTCAGGATACTTCTGCACAGCGGGACCTTTGAACTACACTCTCTGTGTCTCACTCCCCGGACCACTTATCAAGGCAACCTGGATTATCTGTTTCGGACAAGGATCAGCTGATCTCTACGTGTGAATGCCCAGAGCGCATGCGCTGTAGCCGTTCTTGCTCTCATTGTTCGTCCAGCAGTGACAGGAATGAGTTTACCTTGCCTAAACGCCTGTTTGTGGTTGATTCGCCATCTACTTCCCATTCAGTGAATAGAAGTGTTGTCTCTTGCGTCCAGCTACCTTGCTCTTCTACTTCGTCAAAGCCTGCCATTTCGTCGAATCACAGTGCACTGGATCACGCTTCGCCTGTCCGCACCCCTCCACGTCAACTTTCGCCAGAACGTCTACCTTCCCTGAAATAGCACTCGTTGAACCAGTTAGACAGGCTCCTTCAACATTCACCAGATCGGTCATCTTCCAAACAGGTTTCACCAAAACGGACTTCGTCAAAACAACGTTCACCGAAACAGCAGACTTCACCGAAACGGCATGTGGTGAATCGACTTTCACCGAAATGGCTTTCCTCCAATCGGTATTCAGCGGAATGCCCTTCTCTGGATCATTTGTCTCTGAGTACTTCCCCGAACTCTGTTGGATCTTACAGTCACATTTCCTCAGCACGGACACGGCTTTCACCGAGTCTTTTGGACCAATCTCCTATTATTCTTCGGATTTGTTCACCGGATAGACCTGGTAGGTCTACTTCACCACCGAGATGCCTCTCTTTGACTTGTTCGCATTCAACTAAACACATGCCTTCATCTACTTCGTTGAGATCAGTTCATCGCTCGAAGTCACCTCCTCGGATTTGGTCTTCTCGTCATCATAGGACTTCCAGTTCTGCCCACTCTACCTGTCAACCTAGATCTCCTACACGATCGACTGGTGCCTATCGTTCAAGATCCAGGGATGATCGTTCTTGTTACGATACCTCTCCTCAGCGGGTCTCCATATGTGCGTCTTCTCCCGGTTCATCCCCTTCCAGACATAGATATGGTTCTACAGATAGGAGATCTACTCAACGGGGCTCCGATTATAGATCTCAGGGTGGTGCGACTTCTGAAGGGGCTCCTGCCACTTGGTGTCTCTCTACTCAGATTGTACCAGATTCCTGGACTCTTGCGCAGGAAACTACTCCTCCCCCAGATCTGGCTGCGATGTTGAGTGCTATTACTACTGCTTGGAATCAGCGACAGTCTGCTTAATTGACGGGGAGTGCTCCTCCCTTTAGACCACCTGTTGCAGCGCCCAGTCCTGGTTTTCCACCGGATCCTCCATCTCCGGCACATTCGGTTGTGCATTCCCCAGAGGGAAGTTTGGATTTTGTCAACGGACCTCAAGTCTTAGCTTGGATAATGGAGAAACTCCTCCTCCCCATGTCTAGCTACGACCTTGGATCATGCCTTTAAAAGCCTTAAGAGGATTAAGGACGGCCTGTCTTCGCCTAGATTCTCCTTAGAGGCGGCTCACTCCCATGGGTTCCAGTCATTGTCTATTGCCTCTTTGGTGGATGAAGATGTCCAAACACTTTTTGGAATGAGGACTTGTTCGGCCTTTTTAGTTGAGGACAGAGAACTGTTTCACATGGACACAAGACCCGTGAAGGTCCGGGGTGGAATAGCCCTTCAGCAACCCATGCTTGCTATAAAAGGCGACTATGCTTGTCGTAAAAGGCGACTAACGGGATCGGGTGGTCAGGCTCGCTGACTTGGTTGACACATGTCATCGGTTCCCAATTGCGCAGATCGATGCTCATGCTGTTGATCACTGGATTGTCTGGTCCAGACTCGATTATTTACAGACCGCCGCCATATAGCTGGAATATTGCTGAGTGCGGCGTAAAACTCAACTCACTCACTCACTTCACATGGACACAGCTATGCGTTGCTCCTTACCCTCAATCAGCTGCATCCTCTCGGCGGTGGATGCAGTTGCGGCATCAGTGGAGCACCCTTCACCGACCAGGATGCTTACATCAGGGGCTGTGTGTCCCTTATACTGGACCAATTTCAGATCGTACTGGACCAGCTGTCTCATTTCCTTGGTTATCTCCTGGCAGTTCAATGTCGCCGCCTGCTCAATTTGTCTTCATGGGATGACAGGTTTAAGGCTGAACTCTTCCGTCAACCGTGGTATGCAGAGTCATTATTTAATGGCATGATTGGGGAAGTTTTGGCGAAGGTGGGTCCAGACACTCAATTTCAAGATATTTTTATGGATTAAACTTCTTTTTAATTTCTCTCACGACGTTTCGAGACCATTCCAGGTCCCTTCATCAGGTGAACTGGCAGTTAGGACTATGACGTCGTCACTATGACGTCATAACTGAGTTATGACGTCACAATGCAAGTGACATCACAATACACTAGGGAGTGTACTGTATAAGTGAGTTTGAAGAGTTAATTACATAATTATGAAAATTCATGCTAAATAATAGAGTTGAAAGTTGAATTGTCAATACACAACAACTGCTAATTACACAAAGGTTACTTGATAGCAGGCTTTCGAAAAAGAATGGTAGACTCGTTTTTTTCTTTTATCTAAAGTTCATCAAAAGTTAATCAAGAGGTCCCACGCACTTGGCAGGTATACACCTTGATCACGATTAATTGCTAGTTTATGTCTCCTTATCTCGACAGCCTCCTTGATTAACTTTTGATGAACATTAGATGAAAGTCCAGTCTCTCGGTCTGGTGCTCAGCACTCTGGGGTTCTATTCCCTCATCTTTCTGGTTCCCAAGAAAAACTCCACAAAACTAAGACTCATTTTCAACATGAAACTTTTCAATGCCCTCTATCTCCATCGCCCACTTCACTTCAGGATGCTGTTGATCGTCCTTCTTCGCACCATCCTGAAGAAAGGGGATTTTCTTGTCAGCCTAGACCTTCAAGATCCATGTCTTCATGTGCCCATTCATGCGGATTCGCGGAAATTCATGTTCCAAGGGATCTATTATCAATGGACCGTCCTGCCTTTTGTAATTTCCACGGCCCCATGGCTATGTACCAGGATCACCAAGCCGATTACCATGTTTCTTCATCTCCACGGGGTCGTGTTCGAAAGTTACATAGACGACTGCATTCAGGCACAGAGAGACCCAGTCAATTTTCTATGTCAGTTGGAGTTCAGTATGAAGCTTCTCCAGCAGCTGGGTTGGCTGTTAAATGCTGCGAAGTCCGAACTAACACCTACCCAGACCCTTCAATTCATTGACACGCATCTGGGCCTGATTTTCGTTCCCCAAGACAGATGGCTGAAAATTCAACGTCTAGTTCCAGTAGCACTGACGCAGGCCAGGACTTTACGGCAGTGGCAGGAAGTTTTGGGCCTCTTTACATCAGCACAGGCATTGACACGGCGGGGACAATTGCAACTACGTCCGTTGCAACACTTCTTGCGACCGTATCTTGTCTCAGAGAATCTCAAGGAGTTGTTTATTCTTCCCGAACCCTTACGTCCTCTTCTTCAGTGGTGGCTTGTAGAACAGAACGTTTACGCCGGAGTTTGTTTGATGCCATTCATTCCAACACACCACTTGTTTGTCGACACGTCGCTCACTTTCTTCATCATCAGACGGCCGGGCTGTGGTCGTCTGCAGAACGGGAACTGCACATCAACGAACTTGAGTTCTTGGCAGTTCTTCTCACCATTCGGCATTGGGCGACAGAACTTCGGGGGTCTTTCCTGCTGATTCAGACAGACAACTCCACGGTTGTCTGGTACATCAGCCATCTCGGGTCGACAGGTTCGGCGAACCTTCTTCAGCTGGCGTTTCGGTTCTTCCATCTAATCAATGCTCGAGCCAGACACATTCCCAAAGTCAGGAATGTCATCGCAGATGCGCTGTCCCACTCCGATCGGCCATCTCCCACGGAGTGGCAATTGAACCCACAGATCTTTCAGGAAGTGGTCTTCCCGTTATCAAGGCCCACGACCTATTCGCCACATGGTTCAATCATCAGCTCCCGAAGTTTGTCTCGCCAATGCCAGACCAACTAGCGTGGGATCTCGACGCTCTGGCGATTTCGTGGGACGGGCTCAACGCTTACGCCTTCCACCCCCAGCTCTTCTAACCAGAGTTATCCAGAAACTCTGGTCGACCAGACAGATTCTACAGCTTTTGGTCGTGCCTAACTGGCCAGTCGGAGTTGGTTTGTCTATGGCCATCACTTCTGCTCATCGAACTTCCACCCCCTCACTTTATGATGAGAAGTGGAAGTGTTTTGAGGGATATTGCAAGTCCAGAGGCATTACATCTCCCATTTCTACTTCACCTCAAATTGTCACTGAATTTCTTCAGCATTTGCGGTCGTCTAAGAAGCTTAAGGGTTCCACTATGGCCACTTACCTTGCTGCGATCAACTCTGTCCTGGCTACCACCACAGACTCTAAGTTCTCTACGGTTCCTGAGCTTCAGTATTTGCTCCAGTCCTTCAAGTTGGCTGATCAGTCTATGAAGTTTAGACCTCCTGCATGGGATTTATCTGTGGTGCTGCGTCATTTGGCCTCGACAGACTATGAACCCCTAGCTCAGAAGGACTTGATGTCCTTCAAGACCTTCTTCCTTGTGGCTTTGGCAGCTGCTCGGATTTCTGAACTCCACGCTTTGGATGTTAACAGAGTCCAGTTCAAATGGAAGAAGCATGGCAAAGTCTTCCTCAGTCTCCGCTCCGATTTCGTAGCGAAGAATCAGATGCTGGGACAACCTGGTTGTACTTTTATCATCCCACCGTTGTCCACGATCCTTGGACCGAATGATAATGAAGACCTGCAACTTTGCCCTGTTAGGGCTTTGAAGATTTTCCTGGCTGCTTCTAAAGATCGCCGCCATCTCTGCAAGCGCATCTTCATTCCGTTGTCCTCAACATCCAGGGCGGAAGTGTCTCGCATCACATTATCCTTCTGGATGAGGGCCACCATCTTATGGGCTTACGTCTTCGCTGGGTTACGGCCCCCGACAGCTTCCAGTCCACATGAGACACAGGCGTTAGCGTCTACTATGGCTCTGCATAGTAACTGTTCTCTCCACGCCATTATGGAAGGATGCTTTTGGCGATCTGACATGGTCTCCTCCTCCCACTACTTTCGGGACCTCTCAGTCAAGGACGTCCAAGGCCTGTACCAGTTTGGACCCCTTGTTGTCGCACAACAGCTATCTACGGCCCAACAACGCTGTTTCCCTGTACTTTCCGGAATATAAGTCTGAACTTGATGTCTGCCGTATGTTTTGATTGCTTATGGGTTAGAACTACTTCACTTAGTTTTATACTAAGATTTGGAGATACTACCACCTCGGTGGTTGGACGAATCTGGAGCACGATTCTGTATCACGATGTGGAAGGGGTCGCCATTTCACGTTTTCTGACCTCTACTTTTCGAAGCAATTATGTCAGTGAAGTGTGTCACTCCCGAATTGGATTTTGTTGCGTTCTGACTCCGAAGTTGCCAGGCTCATCCTTTAACTAAGCTTATGTAAAGGAGTGAGGGTCAGTTTGGTGTTGACTGGAACTGAACGTTAAAACTGTGAGTTTTCCGAGTTGTGCTTCTCTTTCACCTGCCCCTGGTCGATGTCTGTTGGGGTCTTCTCCAAGCAGGGCTTGCCCGATTATTGTCTATGACTTGAACATCGTGGCAAATTGACATCCTTTTTGCTGAGCTGCGTCCTTCTTCGGAGGTTGCAGCCGAACACCACATCTCTCAGGAGCACCAATCTCCCTGGGAGACGTTGTGCTTAGTAAGCCAAGGAGTTCAGGGGAACTTGTCACAAGCATAGGAGTTGCGCTAGTCATACCAGGCCTCCCTTGTGCATCGCTATCTACGGTTGTTTCCAGTCTACACAGTTCTACTGTTCTCACTGTCAAGACATAAGGTATCTGCGTCCCGCCGTCCGACCATAGGATAAGCGCATACCGTGAGATAGGATAAGTTTAAAAATTTGAAAATTTTAACTATAACTCGTATATTTGTATACTTATCCTATCTCACGGTTTCCCGCCCATCCTCCCCGCTATGCAGATTCTCCAAGATGGATATTATCCAGTGGCTCCAAGAATGAGAATGATGATTCAGAGATAGTCACATGGGAAGCTAGTGGTGCATGCCGCATGCTTTGCATGACAACTAGGAAGCTGTCTTATAATGAGGGTAGAATGGAGTGCTTGGACGGATGGACAAGGGAGGCCTAGGGAGAAAAAAGTTACATCGTTCCACTCAGTGTCGAATCAAGAGAGAGAAGTGCATACCGTGAGATAGGATAAGTATATAAATATACAATTTATAGTTAACATTTTCAATTTTAACCTTGAGAAAACTACAATAATGGTGATTAAACACATGAATGTCCGCGTTAGAATTGGTCTTCAGCAACCCATGCTTGCCGTAACAGGTGACTAACAGGATCGGATGGTCAGGCTTCCTGGTTGGTAGACACATGTCATCATATTCCAATTGCTTAGATTGATGCTCATGATGTTGATCACTGGATTGTCTGGTCCAGACTCGATTATTTACAGACCACCCTCATATAGCTGGAATATTGCTGAGTGTGACGTTAAACAAAAAACAAACAAAACAAATACCTTTACGTTGTATAATTCAATTGAAAAGTAATGGGTTCTGCTGCAGATACTTCCTTCGTCTCACAAAGACATCAGTGTTCTGGAACATGTCGGACACAGGCTGGGCCAAGTCGGCGTGGTCCAGCGTGTTTTCTCCCTGGATCAGTGGATCCTGTGTCTTCGTCTACAACAACCCACGGTTTGATCCTCTGGAAACTATCAAGGTAACACAATGGGTACTCAGTAAGAGCAGGGTTGGTGTCACCATTTATTACCCACGTGGTCAACGTATGGGTAGTTGCATACTGATATTGTACGTCACACGAGTGCCGTATCGTGTTGACCTGTGGCGTAACGACATGACCTGAGATTCTAATGATTTGATTAGATAACCGATGACCTCTCAATTAGGTTCCATTGTGACGGAAATACTTTGCCATTCATAACAAACATTAGACATTATATCCGTCGAAAAACATAAACGCAATGTTTCCACCAGTGATGTTAGCCGAGTGAAGCCACTGCAAACTAAAAAACGTGGTGCTACGGAGTAGTTTAATGTAGGAGGCTGTACGAGGCGATGACATCTGACATGCATCGTGACATCTGTTACCAAGGGGGCAGATGAGCAAGGCGTAGTGACAGACATTACTGTGTGACGTCATGCAAAAAGTGTACTACGGAACAAAATTCCATTTGATTTCTTATGCATTCCACATTGCCATTCAAAGATTTCATATCAGGGAGGTTAGATGTGCTCAGCTTACATCTCTAAAATGGGCAACATGCATCCTGCAACATTACTTCAGTGTCAGACCTGTCTGATGGTGTGTCATAGTGCCTCAAAGACCTGAATGTTTGCTCATGCTCTTGACCACCAGTTTACAATCTATTGTTTATTTAGGTTTTGTACAGTCTACCTTTATGCACCTATATTACTGAATGTGGCGTAAAACAACATTGACTCACTAACCATTATGCGACTGTCAGGAAAGTGTCTTTAAGTATGTAGTCCACTGTATTCCACTGTATTCCAGGTCCTGGCTGATTTCCCCATCACTCATTTCTGCTCATCTGCAACAGCCTTCCGCAGCATAATCAAACACGATCTGACACAACATCACTTTCCACATCTGCACCACTGTGTGAGTGCAGGGGAGCCAGTGGTAAGATGTTTACAAGAACTGCACAGAGTTTGGTAATCATAGGTAAAATCTCAGTGATGTGCATCATATATCTTCTCTATAATTATGGTGTGGATGTGTTTTTTACATCCTAAGATAGATCCTATTTCAATGTCAGATACGGTTACACTTCCTGTTTTTTCAGAATCCTGAAGTTATTGAGGAATGGAAGAATGGTACTGGCCTGACTCTATATGAGGGCTATGGACAGTCAGAAACTGTGAGTATATCTGTATAAAAGGTGGGATGTGTGAGAAGGTACAACAATACGGCATGACTAGATGCCAGGTTGTGACACATGTGGAGTGGTGTGACAAGAGGCCAAAATGTGGGGCATGTAGCAAAATGGTGTGACTGGATGCCAGGCTGTGACACATATAGTGGAGTGGTGTGAGAAGAGGCCAAACTGTGGGGTATGTAGTGGAGTGGTGTGACTAGAGGCCAAACTGGGGGGCATGTAGCGAAGTGGTGTGAGAAGAGGCTAAGCTGAAGGGTATGTAGAGGAGTGGTGTGACAAGAGGCTAAACTGTGGGAAATGTAGTGCAGTGGTGTGACAAGAGGCCAAACTGGGGGGCATGTAGTGGAGTGGTGTGACTATAGGCTAAGCTGTGAGGCATGTAGCGAAGTGGTGTGACTAGAGGCCAAACTGTGGAGCATGTAGCGAAGTGGTGTGACTAGAGGCTAAGCTGTGGGGCATGTGGTGGAGTGGTATGACAAGAGGCTATGCTGTGGGGCATGTAGCGAAGTGGTGTGACAAGAGGCCAAACTGTGGGGCATGTAGCGAAGTGGTGTGACAAGAGGCTAAGCTGTGGGGCATGTAGCGAAGTGGTGTGACAAGAGGCCAAACTGTGGGGCATGTAGCGAAGTGGTATGACTAGAGGCCAAACTGTGGGGCATGTAGCAAAGTGGTGTGACTAGAGGCTAAGCTGTTGGGCATGTAGTGGAGTGGTGTGACAAGAGGCTAAACTGTGGAGCATGTAGTGGAGTGGTATGACAGGAGGCTAAGCTGTAGGGCATGTAGCGAAGTGGTGTGACAACAGGCCAAACTGTGGGGCATGTAGCGAAGTGGTATGACTAGAGGCCAAAATGTTGGGCATGTAGCGAAGTGGTGGGACAAGAGGGTAAACTGTGGGGCATGTAGCGAAGTGGTGTGACAAGAGGCCAAACTGTGGGGCATGTAGCAAAGTGGTGTGACTAGAGGCCAAAATGTGGGGCCTGTAGCAAAGTGGTATGATTTATGATAACATGCAATTAACCAGGAAATGAACAAAAATAGAGAATTAAATATATTTCAGAACTGTGCTGATTTGTTTCAGACGTTTCTGTGTGGGTCATATCCTTGTATTGAAGTGAAGCCGGGATCCATGGGGAAGGCCAGCCCTGGAATAGATGTACAGGTAGGTTGGTTGACTGTTTTGATAGATGTACAGGTAGGTTGGTTTGCTGTAGTGACAGATTACAGGTAGGTTGGTTGACTGTAGTGATATATGTACAGGTAGGTTGGTTGACTGTAGTGATATATGACTGTAGTGATACAGGTAGGTTGTGTAGTGACAGATTACAGGTAGGTTGGTTGACTGTAGTGATATATGTACAGGTAGGTGTGCGTTGACTGTTGACAGGTAGGTTGGTTTTTGCTGTAGTGATATATGTTGACTAGTGTACAGGTGGTGTTGACTGATATATGTACAGTGACAGATTACAGGTAGGTGTGTTGACTGTAGTGATATATGTACAGGTAGGTTGGTTGACAGATTACAGGTAGGTGTGTTGACTGTAGTGACAGGTAGGTTACTGTAGTGACAGATTACAGGAAGGTTGGTTGACTGTAGTGATATATGTACAGGAAGGTTGGTTGACTGTAGTGATATATGTACAGGAAGGTGTGTTTACAGCAAGGTTAAATGCACAGTTAGATTGTATAAGTTGCTCAGATGTATTGACTGAAGTTATGTCCTTGGGAGCGGCTCTGGTGTTTTGACTTCAAGATAATCATTCTATTGCTCTGGTATGTTAATGTGCAACTTGTACTTCATTCGACACAAATTGCTAAAAGTGGCGTAAAACCAAAACTCTGTCAGTCAGTCAGTCATTCGACACAAAGACTGTGTTTCATAAGGGAATTATAACCTTAGCATTGTTGTAAGTTTACAAGAGGCTTTGATTAGCACTTTCTCCCTAAAGGGATTTCAGGGCCAGAGTAGATCATTTTCAGTTGACTGTGAGGAGTCTGGACAAGAACAGGTCACCATATTCGCCCAGTAGGAGTTCATTGCCAGAATAGATCATTTTAAGTTTTTAGAACTTTCTTTCAGGTATATCTGACTGCTATATCCAGAGAGGGGTGGAAAGACATTTCCTCATGTACATTTTAGGTTTTTGTCAAGGTGATGTACATATTGTTCTCTGTTGTCAAGGTGATGTACATATTGTTCTCTGTTGTCAAGGTGATGTACATATTGTTCTCTGTTGTCAAGGTTGTTGATGACAGCGGTGTCATTTTGCCAAGAGGGAAGGAAGGAAACATAGGTGTTCGATACAAACCACATCGGCCAGTGGGACTCTTCTCAAGATATGTGGTAGGTGTCAGGGTATATATATCTCCACTCTGTTGTGACAGAACCCCTGACACACCTTGAACTGATCTACATTATTCTCATGACCAACTCGACACATCCACAGCTCATGAGCTTGCAGTACAAAACCATTCAAAATAACACCCTGAACAGGAGTTCACTATATATACTGAACATCATTGAAATCACACCAGTCTAAAATTGTCCATATTTTCATCAAGATGGATTTCAGCATGACAATGATCAATAAATAAAACTAACATGAAATCGAAGGGCATGTCCAGTTGAAAAAATGCTTTAGAAACAAATTCCTGTCCACAGTATGACTCTTAATTCCAAAATGCATCAACATGCAGCCATGCCGTGAAAAAGCGTGAATTTCATTCTGAAATCATACTGACTGTGAAATTAAAAGCAGGTGTATGATAACTGATTCTCATTGCTTCACTAATGATTGTGAAACGAGGACAGAGATGCCGAGGTTAACACCTCATGAAAGAGAGCGTGCACTAGGCATGATTCAGGTTGGCACCAGCAGCAGCGATATTGTTCGACAACTTTGACTTGGCCACTTCATCATCGTTAGGCTTCATAGACGACATCAGTAGAAGGCAGCACCCGTGACCATCAATGACCTTGGATCGCCATATTGACCTTGTCCATATCAGTGATTGAACACTGCCGACTGCCAGGACTGCTGCACTAGTTCAAGGTTGACGTGGGGGTCATCAGCGCTGACTCCATGCGACGCCGTCTACACGTTAGAGGGCTCTATGCTCGACGTCCTTACGTTGGACCAATTCTAAGTGACAGACACCGTAATGAGCGTATACAATGGGCGAGCAGGCATTTTCAGTAAAGGTTACAACAATGGCATGGTGTGGTAGTCACTGACGAGTCACGTCTTCATCTACGTAATGCTGACGGACGATTACGTGTTTGGCGTAAACGTGGTGAAAGTTATGCTGATGCGTGTGTGGTTCAGACAGACCTTTGGATGGTGGGAGTGTCATGGTCTGGGGTGGAATAAATTACAATCACAGGACTGCCTTCGTGTCTGTCACGGGAGAGTTAATGCCCTTTATTACCGTGAGCAGATTCTTCAGAATCACATCGTATCTGTCTTCAATCACCACCAAGATGTCCATACTTTTCAACAGGACAGCGCACGGGCACACACAACAAGACTTTCCATGCAGTATCTGGCCCAGCAACACATCCAGGTTACTCATTGGCCAGCACAGTCACCAGATGTATCCCCCATGGAGCACTTGTGGAATGAAATTGGTCAAAGTCTTTCGCGGCGACAACAGATGCGAAACATCTGGGAACTTGAGGCTGCACTACTGCAGAAGTGGAATGCCATCCTCAAGAACTCTATTCGGACGGTTATTGACTCAATGAGGAGACATTGAACTGCATGTGTCAAATGGCGGTCACACGCGATATTGACTTTTCGATTTGACCCCACGTGTGTTTGATCCTTTCTGACTGTGGAACATGTCAATGAATGAGCGTCTTTTCTGTGTTGTTGTTTTTGTCAGTCGTCCATCTGTTATTATCCACTCAAAAAGATCTAATTCCTTAGACATGCTTTTAATAATCTGAACTTTTATAAGTGGTGCATTTTCAATGATGTTCAGTATATTTGAATTAGAAAGTCAAAAGAAAGTCAACAGCTACACCAACCCGTGAAGATCCTGGTTAGAATTTGTCTTCAGCAACCCATGCTTGTCGTAAAAGGTGACTGACGGGATCAGGCTCGCTGACTTGGTTGACACATGTCATCGTATCCCAATTGCGTAGATGGATGCTCATGCTGTTGATCACAGGATTGTCTGGTCCTGACTCGATTATTTACTGACCACCGCCATATATCTGGAATAATGCTGAGAGTGGAATAAAACAACAAACCAAAGAAAAGCTACTCCACTACTACGTGGTACTACAGGAGTAACTGTCCCCAACTGTCATCCCAGGACTGTAATTTGAATGTTTGCCTGTTTTGTGTGGAGGCCCTGGCAAGTTTGATTGTTCATCTGCTTCCCACAGGGAGACCCAGAAAAGACAGCATCAGTGTTCTGTGGGGATTTCTACCTGACAGGGGACAGGGCATACATGGATGAAGACGACTACATCTTCTTTGTTGGGAGAGCAGATGATGTCATCCTGTCATCGGGGTAATATATTCACTATCATGTCAAGTAGATTTTATCCTAAAAAAATTATCCTATCAGCATATGGTACAAGCTTTATCCTATATATGTTATTCTGTCAGTATGTGATAAATGCTTTATCCTATATATGTCATCCGGTCAGTATGTGATACATGCTTTATCCTATATATGTCATCCTGTCAGTATGTGATACATGCTTTATCCTATATATGTCATCCGGTCAGTATGTGATACATGCTTAATCCTATATATGTCATTCTGTCAGTATGTGATACATGCTTTATCCTATATATGTCATCCTGTCAGTATGTGATACAAGCTTTATCCTATATGCCATTCTGTCAGTATGTGATACAAGCTTTATCCTATATGTCATTCTGTCAGTATGTGATACAAGCTTTATCCTATATATGTTATCCTGTCAGTATGTGATACATGCTTTATCCTATATATGTCATGTCAGCATTTGGTACAAGCTTTATCCTATATATGTTATTCTGTCAGTATGTGATAAATGCTTTATCCTATATATGTCATCCGGTCAGTATGTGATACATGCTTAATCCTATATATGTCCTGTCAGTATGTGATACATGCTTAATCCTATATATGTCATTCTGTCAGTATGTGATACATGCTTTATCCTATATATGTCATCCTGTCAGTATGTGATACAAACTTTATCCTATATGTCATTCTGTCAGTATGTGATACAAGCTTTATCCTATATATGTTATCCTGTCAGTATGTGATACATGCTTTATCCTATATATGTCATTATGTCAGCATATGGTACAAGCTTTATCCTATATATGTTATCCTGTCACTATGTGATACATGCTTTATCCTATATATGTCATTCTATCAGTATGTGTTACAAGCTTGATCCTATATATGCCATCCTGTCAGTATGTGAAACAAGCCTAATCGTAGATATGCCATCCTGTCAACATGTGACAAGTTTTATCCTAGATATGCCATCCTATCAACATGTGACAAGTTTTATCCTAGATATGCCATCTTGTCAGTATGTGAAACAAGCCTTATCCTATATATGTCACCCTGTCAGTATGTGATATAAGCTTTATCCTAGATATTCCATCCTGTCCATAAGTGATAAATGCTTTATCCTAGATATGCCATCCAGTCAACATCTGACAAGCTTTATCCTAGATATGCCATCATGTCAGTATGTGAAACAAGCTTTATCCTATATATGTTATCCTGTCAGTATGTGATACATGCTTTATCCTATATATGTCATTATGTCAGCATATGGTACAAGCTTTATCCTATATATGTTATCCTGTCACTATGTCATACATGCTTTATCCTATATATGTCATTCTATCAGTATGTGTTACAAGCTTGATCCTATATATGCCATCCTGTCAGTATGTGAAACAAGCCTAATCGTAGATATGCCATCCTGTCAACATGTGACAAGTTTTATCCTAGATATGCCATCCTATCAACATGTGACAAGTTTTATCCTAGATATGCCATCCAGTCAACATCTGACAAGCTTTATCCTAGATATGCCATCATGTCAGTATGTGAAACAAGCCTTATCCTATATATGTCATCCTGTCAGTATGTGATATAAGCTTTATCCTAGATATTCAATCCTGTCTATAAGTGATAAATGCTTTATCCTAGATATGCCATCCTGTCAGTATGTGAAACAAGTTTTATCCTTGATATGGTGTCATCCTTTCAGTATGTAAAACAAGCTTTATCCTATATATGCCGTTCCTGTCAACATGTGACACAAGCTTTATTGTTGTCCCCTGCCGCAACGCCATACGTACGTCCCGATTCTTGTTAACGCGATATCTCATAAACTGTTGTACCCAATGTCTTCAAATTTGGTGACAGCCTACATTGGGGGATTACCCAGATACCAGTTGATTTGGGTGACGTTGACTTTATCTTCAAGGTCACCCCGACACTTTGACCACTTTTCAAACTCATGTAAACGCGATATCTCATAACACATTACACCCAATGTCTTCAATTGTCAACAGCCTACATTGGGTGATTATGCAGACACCAGTCATTTCAGGCATCTTGTATGTGACCAAAAAAATAAAAAGTAGTAAATGTGTTATAAATATTTCATTCTTCTTTAGCAGCGGGGGACATTGCCATATCAGTCGCAACACTTGTCTTAGATATGTCATGTTGTCCGCATGTGATATGCTCTTTATTCTAGATATAGTAGGGGAGGTAACAACACTTTATTTGAAAAATAGTGCTTACTTTTCTCACAATTTGTTAATGAGATTTTGTTTCCACATGTGAACAGTTGGGACTCTTGCATTCATGGCATGACCTAATTTTAGGCAAGGTGTCAGTTCGTGTTGTAATCTTGTGTTTCATAATTAAATGTATGTGATGTCTCGCAGCAAGTTCAAAGATTTTGTCATGAAATATTTGATACTGAATGATGAAGCTATGCCTTGTTTTGGTATTTCCAGATATCGCATAGGACCATTTGAAGTGGAAAGTGCTCTGTTGGAGCATCCAGCAGTCCTTGAGTCAGCTGTTGTCAGCAGTCCTGATGACGCAAGAGGGGAGGTAGGTCATGATGGAATCATTTCACAGTTGGGACAAATCAATCATTCAGTGCTTACAATCGTTAACATTTAAAGCAAATCTAGGTGATGAATTTTGACACATAATGATTACAGTGATGATGATGATGATGATGGTGGTGGTGACTCATAGTTTTTCAAACTAGTTACTTGTAAAGTGTTTACTATAATTTACAGATTGTGAAAGCATTTGTGGTTCTGACTTCGAAATACAAAGGTGTGGACACTGACATGGAGAAGCTGGGACGAGAGCTGCAGGATCATGTCAAGCAGTCCACAGCCCCATACAAGTACCCCAGGAAGGTGGGTAGATATAACCGATATATAACAATAGTACCCCAGGAAGGTGGGTAGATATAACCGATATATAACAATAGTACCCCAGGAAGGTGGGTAGATATAACCGATATATAACAATAGTACCCCAGGAAGGTGGGTAGATATAACCGATATATAACAATAGTACCCCAGGAAGGTGGGTAGATATAACCGATATATAACAATAGTACCCCAGGAAGGTGGGTAGATACAACCAATATATTACAATAGTACCCCAGGAAGGTGGGTAGATATAACCGATATATAACAATAGTACCCCAGGATATATAACCGATATATAACAATAGTACCCCAGGAAGGTGGGTAGATATAACCCAGATATATAACAATAGTACCCCAGGAAGGTGGGTAGATATAACCGATATATAACAATAGTACCCCAGGAAGGTGGGTAGATATAACAGATATATAACAATAGTACCCCAGGAAGGTGGGTAGATATGGCAGATATATAACAGTACCCCAGGAAGGTGGGTAGATATGGCAGATATATAACAGTACCCCAGGAAGGTGGGTAGATATGGCAGATATATAACAGTACCCCAGGAAGGTGGGTAGATATGGCAGATATATAACAGTACCCCAGGAAGGTGGGTAGATATGGCAGATATATAACAGTACCCCAGGAAGGTGGGTAGATATGGCAGATGTATGTTCATGGAAACAAATATAGGAACACATGAAAGTACAAGTGTTCCTTTATTCTTTTCCAGGTTTCTTCACAAGGTATGTATTGCCCTGTGGGTGAAATTCTGAAAATAAATAAAGGAACATTTGTACTTTCATGTGTTTCCTTATTTGTTTCTATGAGTGTATAACAACAGGACCACAGAAAGGTGAGGAGATATGGCAGATATACAACAGTACCCAAGCAAAGTGGGTAGATATATAACAACAGTACCACAGAAAGGAGGGTAGATATGACAGGTAACAACTGTACAGTGCACCAGCCAGAGTGTACCTCATGACCTCTGAACTTTACCCTTGGTTATGCATGTTAATCTTTAGTGTTGTAACCTATGGCTCCTGCCACTTTTGCCCAGGTGATGCAAGGTATGACCCCTGACCTTTTACCCCTATCGCGGTCCTGGTGATGCACCCAAAATCCCCATAACATGTCACATCCCCCAGGAGCCCGGAACATATTACCTCATTGCAGCACCCATTATATTGCTCTTCTACAGATTGAGTTTGTTGAGGAGCTGCCCAAGACGGTGAGTGGCAAGATCCGCAGAGTTGAGCTGAGAAATAAGGAATGGGGAAGATAGCCAGCAACACAATGCCAACAATTTCAATACTCAGAAACCACTACAGGAAAACAGATTAACAGAATACAGGTCAACAAACTTGTCACAAGAACTACTCTTACACAGTTTGTGATCACTGCATCAGGTGGTCTTGGAGCAGAGGCAGTGTCCGACGGGACACTCATATTCATACTCATGGAATGTCAGTTCTGACCAACTGTCACTGTCTGCAACTATGAATGTTTTTCATGAATCATAAGTCAGGATAAGGAAAAATATGTAATTTTTTAAGTATAATTGATATTTTATACTTATCCTGACTCATGACGAACAAGCCGTCCCAACTTCCCCGTTAAAGACACTTATGATTTCACAGCAGATCCAAGTGCATGGGCGGAGAGAGTGGTGGGTGTGGGCACGTCACATGGTGCGTTTGCGCAGGAGGGGGCGCGTGGGTGAGTGTTCGTGCGTCCGCTTGAACTTCAGGGGTTCGGGGTTCCACTGCCATTTCGGGGAAGAGGAGGTGGGGGATCATGAGTCGGAATAAGTATAAAATATAAATTTTACTTAAAAAATTACATTTTGTATAGAGTGAATGTACCTGCTGATGTGAATATAAAAAAAATGTGGAAGAAAAAAAACAACTATGAATGTTTTTAGTAATGTAGTTCACCATTCCAACATTACACCCAGCAATGCTGTGGGGTTTCCCATGTTAAACTGTCAAGCTAAGGTATAACGGACATTTTGTTGAAAGCCATATCTGAGTATGCTCTGAGATCGTGTGATATGTGTTACTTTATGAACTGACTGTACCACCGATATCACATTACACCATGACAGAGTGAGAAATTATGAAATCACCGAAATTCAAGTTTGTTGTTTCGACATTAAGGAAGGTTACTTCATCAGTTCCTGTTTTATATAGAAAGTGTCGCCATCCTGTCACACAAACTGACAATTTAAGTAATGTCTGTACCAATGTCCATGACTTTGTTAGGTGTTGATAAATTGCAGCAGCCTTTTTGAAAACAGTGTCAGCTCCAATTTGGTCATTTTTAAGGATCCAGCGAGATGGGGGCAGTCGGGTAGCCTAGGGTTGAAGCGTTCGCTCGTCACGCCGAAGACCCAAGTTCGATTAGCCACAAATGTGTGAAGCCCATTTCTGGTGTCTCTCACTGTGTTATTGCTGTAATATTGCAAAAAGCGGCATAAAACTAAACTCACTCACTCCAACAAGATGAGTTTAGTCTGCAGAGGGTCACATGGTCTCCTATGTCAGACATTGCTGGAGGACTAACACAATCTAGCTAAAGAATCAGGACAAGTCCTAATGTATGGAGAGACACATACCTGTCACTATTGCTCATTATTTACTTTGTGATATTTACTCAACTTTATGTACATAGTTTGTAGCCTTGAATTCTTTTCAGAAGAAGTCCTCCTTGGGGTACTTATGAGCATTAAAATGTCCATTTTGAAACCTACGACAGTTGTAACTATATTTCAATAAAAATATTTACAAAACGAAAAAACATGTTCTGCGCTTATGAGACCACCCTACAGGTATGCCCCAGCGAAGTTCCCCACAAGCAAGAGCAGGTAACTCTAGCCGACAACCTCGCATACCTCACTTTTCATGCTGTCGTCTCAGAAGACAGACGTCGTGCGTAGTTCATTGTGAAAAGGAAATCAAAATGAGTGTTACAGAATCAACTAATGTATGTATGGTTCCTCTTTTCTCTCGCGAGACGGCGCTAGTGGAATTGTAGGTTGATTTTTCATTCATGATTGTTGTAACTTAGTCGGACAGGCTCCATTTTCCAGCCATGCGTGCAGGCAAGATGGCGGGGTCGGCTTGGTTTCCTTCTAATCCACGGTTGTAACTTTTTAAGTTACATCGCTAGGGGAGGAGAGTAATTTCTTTGTTATTACTATGGTAGGCTTGCCTAACGTTTACACTTTCAGCAAAAGGTGAGTTAGGGTAAGTTTTTTCATATAACATTTACACTATATATGTTACATGGGAAGCTTGCATTTTCACCCTTGTTCATGATATGTTAAAGGGTAAACCTGCCTTTAGCTTTTCACATAGGGTTTATCGCCTCGCGTCGTATTATATTTCACGGTAAGTTGCATATATGTGTGTTTTAGACTGTACATCAGTTTCCATGATAAATGGTTCTGTTTTGTTACAGTTTCACCCGTATGCGTGGCATGTCGCGGCAATGTTGCCCCTCAGGATTCGCGACGATGTGTGTGCCTACGTTGTTTGGCTGTTGAACATCATGATGATCAATCGCGTGAGAACTGCCAGATTTTCTCACCAAAGACGCATTTGAGCGTCGTTCCAGACTTTTGTTTTATACAAATCTGCTGCAGGCGGGGACTTATGGGCACAGGACCCACCATCTAAAGTGGCTAAAAGTAAGAAGAGTTCTTCTTCTTCTGGCGGGGAGTGGGGTAAAAGCGGGCCAAGGCGGGCGTTAAACCTTCTTCCCCTATCCCTCCACTTCCACCACTCAATCAGAATCTGCACCCATATGTAATAATGATTTAACATCCATATTGCAGCAACAGATGACTTGGTTAGGCTCGCTGATCTCGACGCGATGTCCGGTCTCCGTGAGAGGAGATCGGGCTTCCGCTCGGGAGTTAAAGCGGTGCTCGGAATGCGTCTGTCGAGGGTTCCTCTGCCTCGGGCTCCGGTCCGGGACGGGTTTACCCCTCGAGTGGGGTTACCTTGAGCCTTGTCTCTGGTGACCCTCTGCTGGTAAGCGCCTGTGGCTGGCCCGAGCCGGCTCCGCTCAGCGCAGAGTACTAGCGCGTGTTGGATACGTGGTCTCATTACCGCTTTGCTACCAACTCACAAAGGCGGGGTTTCCCTCGAGCCGGTGCTACCGGTCGACTGGGGCCTTCACGCTCCTTCGGGGAATCCTGTCACCGGCAGGCTCTTCCCTGGGTCCTCGGCAACCTGGCTCAACCTCGAGCCTAGGGTCGGTCGGGCCAGGCTGCTTGGCTCTTATGGCTCCCCTATCTTTGTCTGTGGAACCCGACTTCCGTGCCCTCGGGCTTGACTCTGGATACCGAGTAGTTGCTGCTGGGGAAGCGGGAGGAGGAAAGCCATGGATGACGACGGGGGCATGAGACGTCGGGGAAGGTTCCTTCGCTTGGTCCGTCCCTGCGGCAAGTAAGGGAGCGCGTGCGTCCTTTTGCGCGGGTGGTCGTGCCGTCAGGCGACCCGACCCAGCGGAGTTTGTCTCCTGGGGAGGCGTTTGCTCGATGTCGAAGTCGCCGAGGCCCACTTTAGCGTATTTTACCGTCACTGATCAGTGAGGTTATTAACCCTCTCCTCTCAGGAGGCGGTTACGCTTCGATCTTCGGGGAGCTGAACCGGCGCTACCTGATGGGAGAGGGGCTCTGACCCCCGGTGGTAGGCGAGTGTATTTATGCCTCAGTTAAGCCCTGGGAGGGTCATCTGGCCATAGCCACGCCAGGCGATAAAACTTCGTCAGGGTCGGCGTTAGCCTCCCTTTACTTCTAACAACCAGGTGTTGAAGTCGGTCTATCGTTCCTTTGAGGAACAATACCGTAACGCCGTTCAACACCTTAAGGTTTCAGTCCACTCAGCATACCTCTCCGGCCCTGCAGAGGAAGCTGGTGGACCAGGAGGCGCGTGGACGACGGCGGAGTTGCGCCCGTCCGTTAGCGGTAGGCAGCTCACGGGAGGTGCATTCACATCTGGCACGCATAGCGCCATTCGATGCGTCCGTCGCTAGCCAGATGATGTCTGCTTGGTCATGGGCCTCCGTCGGTTGTGTGGCTGTCTGTGGCCAGATACTCACCGGCTACACAGCGAAGCTATTGTCTTTGCCGTTCAGGATGGGCTCAACCCTGTTCCGGGGGCATTGACAGTGGTCAGGGAGGCAGCGGAGGCGGTTAGCCAGTTTAAGGACTCTAAGCCCTTACTGGAACAACCCTCACTGCTCGGCGCCCGGCCTTCCGTCCTTGCCTCAGCTTACCCTTCCTCTTCAGGAAAGGAAGCCGAAGTGGGCGGCTCCACTTCCAGGCACGAGAGCAAGGGCAAGGGTAGAGGTAGAAGGGGGAGCAAGGCTGCGCCTCTCAGCAGCATTTTCAGAGGAAGGGGAAGTCGGCCCCGGCTTCCCAGTAAGCATTCCTCGGGCCCTTTGTTGGTCCCGCACAAGCAGTTGTTACAGACTGCGCACTGCCGGTTCACTGTCTCTTACCCGACGTCCTGTAGGCGTGACCGGCTACCTCTTCAGCCGGGAATGGGAGAAGGCCACATCAAATCCCTGGGTCCTGTCCACACTCAGGGATGGGCATATGCCACAGTGGAAGCGAGGCCCTCCTCCTTTCTCGGGATTCGTTGCGCCAGTGCCGAACTCTCAGGAAAAGGCCGATGTTCTCTCGTGCGGAGGTCCAGGCGTTGCTGGACAAGGCAGCCATCGAGGTGGTTCCGAGGGCCAGGGAAATTTAGGGTTTACTCAACCTATTTCCTGGTTACCAAGAAGGGCGGAGGGTTCAGACCCATTCTCAATTTAAAGGGTCTGAACCGGGCTTTTGCTAGAGGTACCGTCCCTTCAAGAGGTGGAGACACTGCGGTCGGTGATCTCATCTGTGGAGGCAGGGGGATTGGCTTTACGCCAATCGACCTCAAGGACGCTGCGATACCTTCATGTACCAATGCACCCCTCGAGTTCAGGAAATACCTCGGGTTTTCCCCTTTCGATGGAGAGTGCTATCAGTTTCGATGGTGCTCCCCTCGGCATCTCCACGGCCAAGGGTGTTCACAAAACTAATGTTAGTGCCAGCTCAAGTCACCAGGGCACAGGGCAACTTTTGCTACCCGTACCTGGGCGACTGGCTTTTCAGGGTGCTTGCCACTCACTTGAGTCGGGACTCCACAGACAGTGATAGATATTCTCACCCAGGTTGGGTTGGGTCATCAACCTCAAGAAATCCGAGCTGGTTCCACCCAAGGATCTGGTTTTCTTGGGAGTGATTGAGACACAGCAGGCATAGTCTCTCTGTCTCAAGACCGCATTTCCAAAGTCCAAAGGGTTGTTTTACAATTCCTTCAGTCCCCAGGGCCTCAGCTCGCACATGGCTTCAGTTGCTAGGAAACATGGCGGCGGTCCGGTGGGCGTGGTTTGGCGTCGGCGCATCTGAGGATCACGGCCAGTTCAGCAAGCGTTAGCACAGCTGTGGTCACACTTTCGGGGAGCTCTGAGACTATCCTCAGAGTGGCTTCATCCTCACCTCAGGTGGTGGACCGACACCGGGAATCTAGTCAGGGGTATCCCTCTGGAGACCCGGTGCCTCGCCACGATTCAGA